TGAACTAAAAGCATAGCTTGCATGCCAATAAACCGATACCGGCTCATAGCACTCCCTCCCCGGCCACAGAGCCTCACAACTCCCGTCTCCTCCGCCGCACACCTCCGTTATCGCTGCCTGCAGCTCCATCGGATCCACCCCTCTCGCCACCACGCACCACAGCCTCCCCCGAAACGGCACATTGTTCTCCACCACCGGTAGAGGATCATAATCAACCGATGGTTTCTTTCCCGTCAAGTCGATTTGGTAATTTGGACTCCCGTCGAACCTCAACAGCCCCCAATGTCGCTCCGTCCCCGGCCCTGGCTTTTGGTTCTCGTCGAACAAAGAAAATATGAACGTCGGTACCACCACCCTTGGTCTCGCCGGTGTTCCTATCGTCGGCTTCGTCATTACCCTCTTTACTAGATTCCGATTGTAGGTCGCCGCATTGAGGAGATTGGCGCCTAGGGTAAACGATACGAATAAATGATTGAATATGTTGAAATTAATAATTTTAAGCTTTTGAGTTTAGTGGTAGTTTTAATACCGGGTTGTTCGATATCTCCGGCAGTCGGCCACCCGGTCTCCGATATGACGAGGCGAATATTTGTGTAGCCAAGTTTGGCCATTGCAAAGATGAAAGAATCAAGCATTTCGTCCAAAAGATTAGTATAAACAAGCCCACTTCCCCTGTCGATCTGTTCAAGGTTTCCATTGAAAAGGGCAAAATCTAAGTTGATATCCATGGGGTTTGCTGACCATGGAAAATATGGATACGCATTGATGAACAAGGAAGACCTGTTACAAATATAAAATTATAATATAACGTTAGAACATCATTTTTAAAAACTTAAATGTGTGAGATCTCATATTGATTGGAGAGGTGAATGAGTGTCAGCGAGGACATCGAGTCTCAAAGGGAGTAGACACAGACGGTGTGCCAACAAAGACGATGGGCCTCGAAGGGGGTGGATATCGGGCGGTGTGCCAGCAAGGACTTTAGGCCCCAAAGGAGGGTGGATTGTGAGATCCTACAACGATAGGAGAAGGGAATGATATCAATTGGAGAGGGGAACAAGTGTCGACGATGACTCAGGGTTTCGAAGGGGGTGGATTGTGAGATCTCAGTTCAGTGCAAGAGGGGAACAAAGCATTCTGTATAAGGGTGTGGAAACCTCCCCTAACATACGTGTTTTAAAAATTTTGAGAGGAAGCCCAAAAAGACAAGCTAGCTGTGGGCTTGGACAATAGGTTGGGATACGAAAATTTCAATATTATAACATAGTTTTACATACTGGGGTCGGGATGGGGACGAATATAATCTCTGTCTCTAGCCTTGATACCTGATTCGCTAATAAAGAAAAATCTCTCTCCATTTCATCTCTCATTTTTTATTGGTACTAAGATCCTCCGTGAATTAAATGGACATCTCTCGACATATTATAGCACAAAATCTAAGGTTGATATTTTTGAAAATTTAACACAAAATCTAATGTTGATATTTTTGAAATTTTAAATTTTCGAGTAGAATTTTAAGCATTAAAAACACATTTTTTTAAGATTAAATTTACCGTAACCTATCAACATAACTAACCTGGACTCGTCCAAGAACTCCAACATCGGAGCCACCACGGTCCACCGAATATCCGAACGAAACATCCCTCTAGACGGCGGAAACGTGGTCTCCAAAACGTCCATAGCCACCGGAGTTCCAACTCTAATGATCTGCAAGTTAAAAGCTACAAGGGATCGCCAAACCCTTCTCATGGCCGGCACAAGGTCATTCCAAACTAGACGATCGCCATAAGAATCATAGCTCAAAACTTCATTACCGACAAGAATAAAGCGAATCATGGTACCAGGATAAAAAGGGACAACGTTGTTTAGAACCCATTGGTCGGCTCTTGTCTGGTTGTTGGCAATGTCTGAAATTTCATTATTGGGTATCATAATTGAAACTTGAATCTTTGTCCCTGACAAAAGGCTCAAGATTTCATGGTTAGCATCATAGAGCTTCACTCTGCCGGCTTTCATGGATTTGATCATTTCAATGGCAACCTTTGGAGGTGGAAGGTTGCTCCCAAGTTGGCCATAGTTGATTCCAATTTTGTTGGAAACTTCTGCGTCGGCTAAGAAATGCTTACAAGAAATGAACGGAAAAGAGAAGAAAAGGACGAGATTGAGAGAAAAAGTTGTCATAGCTTTAAGAACTTAAAAAACGTGGGATTATGAGTGAGTTTGGAGCGTTTTAAAAGGGTTCAGGGTTTACGAATAAGGGGTTAGTTTGGGAGAGTAAAGATTATGAACGAATGAAAAAGAGTCGTGGATCAAAGTGGCAAAAGGAATGAGGATTTGTTAAAGAAAGAGACAAAGATTATGAATTGAAAAGAAGTGAAGGTGAGAGGAGTGTTTTTTTTTTTTTTTTTTTTCTTATGCAAAATGGATGTTTTGAATGATATTATCCATCTCGGGATCTGTTATGTACGTCATTATCCAATGTATACCTTAGGTAGGACTAACCCTAGCCTGTTTTGTAACGAGGCCAAAGATGTTTTGACGATGAACTACAAACTATAAGCTTAATGTAAGATAGTGTCATGGTACTCCCAAGTAAAGGTCTTGAGCTACCCTAGATGGAACTTGACGATGAAGAGTGTGGCAGCTGAAGTGTCAGTGGTGGCATGGTCGTTGTGGGCAGACCTTTGTAACAGTTCAAACCCACTACTAATAGATATTGTCCGTTTTGACTTGTTACGTATCATCGTCAGTCTCATGATTTTGAAATGTGTTGGCTAGGGAGAGGTTTTCACCCTTGTAAGAAACGTTTCGTTCCCCTCATCAACCACATAAAGTCACAAGTTGTCAGGATGACGGGAATGTGTGAGAGATTGGTGTTAGAGCGTAGAAGAGTGGAAATTTTTTTAACCCTTGCTAATGATTATGATATAAGCATAGGATAAGATTATTTCTATGCCCATAATTCAATAACGTAGAAAAAAACTTCAATTATTCACCCACTTTTCACCTAACAAATTAATTGCTTAATAAACCAAGTTTTTTTACACCATCTTTTATTTCATTGATCCGACCATTGACTTAAAAGTTCATGAAAATCGACGGAGTATATCATATTTTTCAATTAGATTGCATAGTACTTGGTCGACTTCTCAATGGGTATTCATAGATTTAGGTCAAATAAGAACGCATAGATCTTGATTGGTTCTTACAATTATGAGTCCTCAAAATCCCAACTAGCTTTATCTAGATTGTGGACTAGAAACCTAATCTCTGGAACGATTAGAAATCCACCAAGATTTTTAGTAGAATGATTCTATTTTGTTGTATGGATAATGTCTCACGTGTCGATGTTTTGATGGTGTATGAAATGAGTGATAAAGTACGAAGGTGGGGAGGTGGGAAGGTTTGACATAGACATTGTAATTAATTACCTTTAGTTTTTAGGTCAATTTTATGACGTGACCGATATAAATTTGGAGGCGTTCTGTCTTATGATAAGATGTGTACTCCAATTAAGTAACCTCACTATGTCGTACGGGATGTAGAAGAATGTTGAGACCACTAGGCATCAAATCCAGATTTTAAATATTGGCATGGGTTGTTACGGAGAGTGAGGTGGTTGCCTTCACTACTCACTTGTCGATCTAACATAACTCAATCAACCAATTTAAGCATAGCTCATCTAGTCATTTGTGGACCTAACACAACTAAATCAATCAATTTAAGCGTAGCTCATCTAATCATTTGTGGATCTAACACAACTCAATCAATCAATTTCAACGTAGCTCATCTAGTCATTTGTCGATCTAACACAACTCAATTAATCAATTTAAGCATAGCTCATCTAGTCATTTGTGGATCTAACACAACTCAATCAATCAATTTCAGCGTAGCTCATTTAGTCATTTGTCGATCTAACACAACTCAATCAATCAATTTAAGCATAGCTCATCTAATCATTTGTGGATCTAACACAACTCAATCAATCAATTTTAGCGTAGCTCATCTAGTCATTTGTCAATCTAACACAACTCAATCAATCAATTTAAGCATAATTCATCTAGTCATTTATGGATCTAACACAACTCAATCAATCAATTTAAGCATAGCTCATCTAGTCACTTGTCGATCCAACACAACTCAATCAATCAATCAATTTAAGCATAGTTCATCTACTCACTTGTCGATCCAACACAACTCAATCAATCAATCAATTTAAGTATAGCTCATCTACTCACTTGTCGATCTAACACAACTCAATCAATCAATTTAAGCATAGCTCATCTAGCTACTTGTCGATCTAATCCAACTCAATCAATAAAGACATAGACTTTAAAAAAGATATCTCCACACAAACTTTTGACTTTGAAGTAACTAATCGGAATAATTCAATTAATCCCTATCTCATTTACCAATAAAGTCTAATTACTCTTATAATTCAAGGTAATGTTTGCAAATGATTTTTAAGAAAAATAAATTGTAAAGAAAAAGAAAAATCTTGATAACACCCATTTGAATCCATTAAAGATCTCAACAAGATTTCTTTTATTAATACTAAAATAAATAAATATAATAAACAATAAGCTTAGGCATCTCTATGCTTTAAAAGAACATTGCTTTGCTTTTAAAAAAGGGGAGAAAAAAAAAAGACTTTTTTCTTTAAAAATTTCATTGATTGGACTTTTTTTGTACAAAACACAAAAAAGTTCCAAACTTTAAAGTGGCTTTCACAATCCTAAGACATCCCTGTCAGCAGGTGTCTTGTTTGGTGAGATTTGTCAGAGTTTTTATTAGAATTATAATTAAACTTATTATTAAAAAAATTATCTTTTTTTGTTTTTTTTTTTATAAATTTAGAATTTTAGGTAGTAGCTACCGCTACACTGTTCAGACAAATTTGTCCCCTTGGAGAAGACGATTCCACGCGTCCTTCTGTAGGCTCGGCCGCACCGAATTCCCCTCCTCCAACAGCCTAGGGTCAGTACGGTATTCCCCATTTTCCCCTTTTACAAAAGAATGATTCCCATCTCTTCCTTTTCTTTACTTAACTAACTCCCTCCTTTAACCACTTCCATTTTGGTTCTTCTTGGCTTTTCTTTCCCTCTTTCAGCAATGGAGCATCGAGATCAGAGTAAGAAAACCCTCTAGACTGTTGGGTTTTGTTCTGTTTCTTTGTGTTGGTTCTTGTTCTTTGTGTGTGTTCTTTTTTGGGGTTTATTGTGGATTTGGGCACTTGGGTTTTTGTGGGTTTTGGAAATTAGTTGATGGGTTTGTTTTTGATGAAGGGTTTTGGTGAGTTTTGTAGGGCAAAAGAGCCATGGAGTTCATGTTTGCAACAAATGTGGATGGCACTTTCCTAACCCTCATCCGAGCGCCAAACGTAGGCGTGCTCACAAGAGGGTTTGTGGAACGATTGAAGGGTTCAAGTTGGTTGAGTCTGAGGCTAACACGCTTGTGACTGTTTCAGATGATGATGGCGATCATAAAACCTCCAGTGAGAAGTCTTTTCCTTACACTGTGTTCTAAATTTGGGTTTAAATGTTCTTCTCTGTGCTTTCTTCTTTGGTGGTCTTGAACTTTTGATAGAAAGCAATTCTAGTCCTTAGTATTAACTTTGTTATGAATTATTTGATAGGGACCTGGCATCATTATAGCGTTTGTTTGTTTACTTTACTTTATCATTATGTGTCAACTTTGGATAATTAGTACTTGTAGGTTAGGTGTTTGATTTTCAAATGAATCTATGTTCTTGTTAAATGATTAGCGGAGTCTTAATGAGAGACTATGTAATAGTCTAAGCCCACCATTAGTAGATCATCTCAAAGTTTTAAAACGTGTAGGAAGAGGTTTTCACACCATTATAAGGAAGACTTCATTTCCCTCTCTAACCGATGTGAGATATTTCAATCCACCCCACTTGGGGGCCAGCGTCCTTGTTGGCACGTTGCCCAGTGCTTGGCTCTATACCATTTGTAACAGCCCAAGTCCGCCACTAGGAGATATTGTCCTCTTTGGATTTTCCCTTTTCGTGCTTCCCCCTCAAGGTTTTGAAATGCATCTACTAGGGAGAGGTATCCACACCCTTATAGGAAATGCTTCGTTCTCCTCTCCAACCGAGGTGGGATATCATAGACTAACATAACTTGGAATGGGGAATGAAACAGAGTAGTTGAAAGTTAAGGGATTAAAGTAGGATAAGTTCATGGACCAAATTAGGATTTAAAGCTAAAAAGTTATTCTGTGGGTTCTCTTTAAAGTTACATATATCTCTCTTTCTCTGTCTTTTGTGTCTTGCTTTTATCTCTTCTTTCTTTTTCTGTTGGAAAGGAGGGACCTATGATGATGAAAACTTCTGTACCTTAAGGTGTTTTTAATCATGTCAGTAAATGCTGCATAGGTTCCAAAGTCTTGGGAGGATGTTACAGTGACAAGGGTGTCGATGGAACGAAAACAAAATCAAAGGCATCCGAAGATGAAATGTTTTCAGATGCTGTTGCAGAGTTTTCAGAGGAGGTACGACCAAACAAGTCCATGGGAGATGCTTTGGATCCAGTAAGCACGTCGAAGATGGCGATGGAAGATGAAATGAGTAGCTCCCGAACTTTGAAAGACAGAGAAGTTCTTGGTATGTCTTGTGTTGGGGACGTATTGTTAGCTATTTATACTCGGTTAGTTTCGATCATGATTTTGATTTCTTGGTAACCTTTTAGATATGTGTTAATCTCCTAAACAATGGTTTTCTTCCAAATATGGTGAATTCTTGGACCCTCAATAACATTAACTATAAGGAATAATTGAAAAGTAAAGTTTTCAGCTGCTGAAGGAAAGAACTAATAAGTAGATAAGCTCATCCTTCATGCTGCATGCTGTGGTAGTTTCTTAAAGTGTGATCCGAGCGGATGAAATATGTGGGATCCTACATCGATTGGAGAGGAGAGCGAAGCATTTCTTATAAGGGTATGGAAACCTCTCCCTAGTAGATGTGTTTTAAAACTGTGAGGATGACGGTGATACATAACGGGCCAAATCGGACAATATCTGCTAGCGGTGAGCTTGGGCTGTTACAAATGGTATCAGAGCCAGACACCGAGCAGTGTGTCAACGAGGACGCTGGCCCCCCAAGAGGGGTGGGTTGTGAGATCTCATATCGGTTGGAGAGGGGAACAAAGCACTCCTTATAAGGGTGTGGAAACCTTTTCCTAATAGACATGTTTCAAAACCGTGAGGCTGACAATGATACGTAATGGGCCAAAACAGACAATATTTGCTAGTAGTGGGCTTGAACTGTTACAAAATTTGTCTAGTTTTTTGACATGAAATGTGATCATGTTCTTTGAATTTTTTACAACTTATGTTTGTATAATACTTAGTTGTTGTTCTATGGTCAACCTCTTTAGCTGACAACCGAATAGTGGAAAGTTCAGTTGTTGCAGAAGCTGCCATCAATCAGTCTGGAAGTGATCAAGAAAACAAAAGTAATCAAGAATTTGTAAATCTTGAGACCGACTGTGGAACTGCATCGTCAAGTTCTTCAACTGTTGCACAAACTGCTATCGATCGGTCGGGAAATGAGCAGGAAGCCAAAATTAATCAAGAACTTGTGGATCTCGAGACTGATTTCGGAACTCCATCATCGAGCTCTTCAACTGAAAACCAGCAAGTGGAAAGTTCAGCTGTTGCAGAAACTACCGTCAAGCAGTCAGGAACAGAGCAGGACACCAAAATTAATCAAGACTTTGGGAATCTTGAGACCAACTTTAGAACTGGGAATTCAGTGATTCCACCCATTGATCATGTGAATACTACTACTACAGGTGACTCGTACCTTAATGAACCCGAAACGATAGTACCTGCTCTGCAACAAGAGTGGAACATTGATAGTGTTGAAAACATGCCTGATAGAAGATATGATGAAAAGAAAAACGAGGACGTCGACTTGTGTAAGAATTTGACAGAAACCGCAGCATCAACGGTAAAAACTGATAATGATAAATCGGAGCCGTTATCGGAGCTGGAAGAAACCATCGAGATACCTAGAGAGCCTCTTCAATCAGTGGCTAACTATGACATGTCCAACCATTCTGAAATGCCCCAGAGTGTTGTTTCAGATGTTAAACCCATTGGTTTGACTCGAGTGTTGTCTGATGCTCAAAAAGAACTCGAATCTTGCAGTTCTAACAACTTACTAGAGACCAATAAAATAAAAGAAGAGAACGATAATGTGCATCTGCCTTCTGTGTCGAGTGACTTGAACATTGTCGACCATCCTGAGGCTTCGGTTGAAGATTCAAAGGATCATGATCATAAGGAGGTTGAATCAACCAATTGTTTTGTACATGACCCTCATGAGAGTTGTATTACATTGCAGGCCGAGCCATTTGATCAAACTTCCGAAGTAGCTTCTTTTGACACGAAAACTGTGGAAAATAGGCAAAAACAGGAAAGTGGAGTCGAGAATGTGTCGGTTGATACGAAAGCCGAAGAAGTTCCCATTCAAGACGTGAATGCAGCTCAGATTAAAGGTATGCTCGGTGAAAATGAAAAGTATGATAAGAATCTAACCATCAGTGACGCTACAAATTTTGGGATAGATAGTATTCCTTCAGAAGTCCTAGGGATTGATTCCACACCTGAATCTACCACTAACGGCAGGGAGAACAAATGCATTGTTGTTGCAGAAGAGATAGCTGATGAATCCGCTAGAACGATATCTCTGACCGAAAGCACGGACTCGAGAAAATTTAGCGTTAGTTTAGCTCCAGAGACTCGGGAAAGTGTAAAAGAAGATGATCATAGTAATGAATCTGTCACTGGAAGATCAGACTCTCTTCAGGATGGTAGTGTGGTTCAGCTTGCTGGAGTCGGAAATCGAATTGCTTCTGAAACTGGGAAAGATGATGGCATGAAAGTTGGCGTAGAACCACGGCTTACATCGGCCATTCTTGATGCTTCAGTCGATGCGATTAGTCAAACCGACAGTCTTGAAGGCAACTGGGGGTCTGTCTCAGGTATATTATTATGCTTTGTATGAACTATGAACTGTGCTTCATGGTGAGCTAACAATAACTGATATTCTTTCTTTAGATCCAAAGTTTGTCGATAATTAATATATGTTCTTAACTATGAGGAACAGTGCTCTCAACTCTGTCGGATTTACCTGCTGTTGTGGATGGCGAAGTAACGCAGCAAGCACGAACCGAAGCAGAGGAAACCATCTTGAAGAAGGCCAATGCTGCAACCGAAGGACAACATTCTAACAGATCTGATATGTTTGAGGCACCATCTTTTATGACGTTGGTTGAACCTAATGGTGGAGGAATCCAACAAAACTCGGGCACGCGAGAGCAGCCGAATTCTGCATCGCTGCAAGCTGGCTGGTTTCCATCTTATACTCATGTTGCAAACGACTCACCGGGAAAGAAGAAGAACGAGGCGATTATCGCCAAGGTAACGAACTGGAGTGCTGGAAAGCCACACACTGCTCTCAAGAACCTATTGGATGATGCTGCACTTGAAAACAAACAGAAATCGCCAACCCGAGTAGAGAATCTGGGTTCCATGATTCATAAAGATGAAAAACCAGATGAGAAAACGGTGAACGCCGTTACGCAGGCGAAATCGCCTGCCTCGGAGTTGAGAAGCAGGGAGATTGCAAATGAGTGGAACTCTCCTGCAAGATATCCATCAGACGTTAGGAGAGAAAGGAGAAAAGGGAGGCCATATTGGGCTCAATTTGTATGCTGTTCTTCAGTGCATTAGTAGAGTAGATTGTTATTTAGCTGTATGATCTTCTACTGCTATAGATTTCTCCATGTCCTTTTTTGTCTGCTAAATTTTAGGATCCTCTGCTTTCCGTGGCAAATGTTGGCTTTTTTTTTTTTTTTTTCCGTTCTAGAGTCATATTTTATTCTCTTATGTTTGGTTTATAAATGGACATTCTTAAGTGAGATCTTATAATAAATGGTTGTCAGTAGCCTACATTTTTGCCCACCCATCACAACCCTATGGCTCGTTGAGTATAACGATAAATCGAGACAAACCCTTAGATAACCTATCGAAGATTAGGGAGAGATTCTGAGACATAATGACACTCACTCTTCTACACTGATATTTGCACCGAATGCTCATATAGAAAAGTTAAGACTCTTGGATTCGAAACCAAGGGAATCAGGTCGGTCTACAAAATACGTTTCTTATAGGGTTACATTGAAAATCTTTCAAAAATGGAGAAAATTGTGAGAGAATAAAAGTGCAGAGAACCAATGAACACAATCAAAGTGAGTCTAAATATTAGCAATAAGAACAAGTCATAAGGGGCTATTGATTGAATTGAATACTCAACAGAATGAGTCATTTAAATAAAATTGAAATTTCAGACCTGTTTGAAAACAACACAAACACAATGACAGTAAGCTACCTTCCTTATAATTTACTTGGAGAATCATCCAAAAATACTTACTTGTGGTCTAACCTCGTACAAAATGACAAATTGAAGAACCAAAACTCCTAACAGAATGACTTTCACAAATGTCTAAGCTGTCCATTGATTCCTCTAAATTACATTCCCAACAAGCCTCTCTTTTTGCCCCTCCCTCATACAACTAACTTGAAGCTCAAATGACCTTTGTGACCATTTATTAAGCAGCAATGCCAACGCCGACCGAGAATGTCCCCCCGCCCCCAAAAAAAAAGAATTTTTATCAGTGTTCCCATATATCCTTCAAATGAGACAATGTGGGAATATTGGCTTCTCAACTTGGAAAACAATGGAAACACCAGAAAAGAAGTCAACGAGACACCAGATATACATAACCATCAGTGATTTTTCCCACAGCAAGAACTATCCGATTTTTCGTAAGCCTCAAGAAAGCCATCTATTCTCAAGATTGCACAGCCAACCTCTGAAGATGCTCAAAGAATACTTGAAGACTAACATCATCGGTAAATATGATATCTGACCCGGCTGCTATTTCTTGAGCATTGTTATATGTCGCTGATGGATTCAACTTCGCCAATAAGAATCTAGCCTGCTCGGAAAATCAAGATAATAAAATAACCAAGTCAATATACCACCATTCTACCCATGAATTTCTTTATTTATACTTCACGGGTCATAAGTATCTATAGCCAGTTTATAGTTTAAAAAGCTGAAAATAACTCTTTAAGTAAGGGGCCTAAAATAATGACAGCAGAAGCACAAAATAACTTTTATAGCATTTGAGTATTTTTGCGTAATAATCTTTGCTGTGAATGCAAACCAAAGCTGCAGGGTAAGAAAATAACCTGGGAACCATGCTGATCGCAGACAACCAAACGAGGTACTGGAAAACGCTCATTAATAATACTTTGCGCATCATCATGAGGAGCATGCAATAACTGTGCAAATGCCTGTAGAAAGATTGTTAGATTGATTAAATGGATGATATGGTTGATATTATACCCATTATAAACTATCAAATGACAAATGTTTAAGAACAAAACTAAGTAGATATAGCACAAACTTGGTGTTCTGGCTGATTTTGGTATCCCATATTACGCCACTGAGCTATTGTCATTCCATGAAATATGACAACACTGAAATAAGAATCTAGCAGGAGAATACGATCAGCTGCAATGGAAGCAACATCTAACAATGCTGGTGCAGGCAGTGAATTGAATGAGTATGATATTAGTGATGGCTGAATCATCACTGCAGCATTTGTAATGTTCTCCCTATTTAACAACATCCTAAAATATGCAGTTTCATCTGGACTGTTGTTAAAAACCTGCACATAGGATCGCAAGGATCCAGCCAAAAGAATGTAAATCATCTTTTCATTGGACCATATTGACATGAATAACTTCAAGCACGAGATCCTAATAGATGTAAATACCTGTACAAATTGTGAACGCCGCAAATTAAACATGAACTGAGGATACAAAGAAAAGCAAGGATTCAAAGTAAAGGAAGATGGATCGTCTTTCCGATAATCACCAAACTTAGAACAGAGACGAATCAAGGATCGATCCAACCACCGAATAGCATCGAACCCCTCCTGACAAGAGTAAAATTTAACATTAAGTAACTTACAACTTTGGAGATACCAGTAGAACAAATGACCCATTGAACCAGCAAGCAACAAAACCTAGTTAGCAGAATGCAATTTCATCCTTCTTTAAGAACTAACGGAGGGAGTGCAATCAGAAGAGGCATTTAACACTTGGAAATTTAGAAGATATTCAAATTGGCAGTTGTTTAGGCTATAAATATGAAATTATTTAAATTTGACTATCATGCTATGATATTTTATCTAGTAAGACTCGTCTTTGAATTTCTTTCAGTTTCTTGTTTATGGCCAGACCTCATCCTCTCAACCAAACACTTAGCTTATTGATATTATAAAGTTCCTGCTTATATCAAAATAATGATAATAATAATAATAATAATAAACAAACAAAAAGCAATCAAGAAAAGAATATTTTAGGTCCCAGGCAGATGCAACAAAACTTGCAGTGTGGTTTCGCAAAGGACTGTAATTCCTAACTATGGTCGGTCCACTTCTCTAGTAATATTTTATCTTTAGTCTCTATCTATAAGACAGAAATTTCATTTACAATAATCAGACATAAGTTTACAAAAAATATTATTCCAACCAAAGTCAACATTAACTAATAGGTGTTTCGAGCAAGCCCCAAAGAGGCCGGACTACATAAGAAATATTTTCCCAAAGGTTATACAGCTCCTTGGATTCTTCTTAGAAATTTTTTTTTGCTCTTCTCCGACCAAACCTCTCAAGTCCCACAAAATACCACTAGTGGCTTCTATTATTGTTATTACTATTTTTGGTAAGAAACCGAGCTTCATTGAAAAAATGAAAAAAATACAAAGGCATACAAAAAACAAACCCAAAAAAAAGGTGTCCGACCCTAACTACAAAAAACCATGCTGCCTCCCAAGACTTCTCATTGAACTTCTCAACCTTCCTAAAAATCTTATTGTTCCTCTCAAGGAAAATTCTCCACAAAACAGCCGAAGAAAACTGTAGCATTATGTTAGGACACTCGATCTTCCTTGTCAAAAAGATGGGCCAACAAAGTAAGGTGTTTGAACCGGCTATAACTAAGGAACATAGCATAATCCTACAAATGGTAAAAGTCTAAAAGCTAAGAAAAACCATCTCAGAAAGGAACAAGAAAAGAATAAATTTGAAGTCCAATTAGACTCGAACGTGGCAACTAGGGAAAAGGGTGTTACGAGGAGAATCTTCCCTGAACATTGCATTCAAACATCCCTCAGGACGGACTTCCAAGAAAAAAAAATTGATTCTTGGTTTGATTTTGCTAGATTGGAGCCCTTTTTTGTAGTTTGTTTTTGGGCTCTCTCTTCCTGTCGCATGTTTGTATGCCCTTGTAATTCTTCCATTTTATCTCAATGAAACTTCGGTCTCTCATCCCAAAAAAAAATTGCAGTCAAACATCAAAGTTAGTAGTCCCTAGGAAGATTTTCACCTTCTTTGGATATTTACCCTTCCAAAAAAGAATTCTTGGACATCTCTTTGGGTAGAGGATGAGCAGTAGCAACTTTCTCAAAATGTATTAGCAAGTTAAAGCCCATGGGGCTAAGTTTATCCTTATAATCTTTTTCATCAAAATGAAATAATTCTTATAAAAATCCGGCATAAGAACCTAGTTAACCTTAGATCTTATATGCATGCAAATTCAAACAGAAAGTAATTTCATGGGCCAAGACAAAATTTCAGTTCATTGCATTCATAACTAGCACCTGAATACATACATCCAAGCATCACAAGTTCTGAAATGAAAAATGTGACCTCGAGTTCAATAGCTCTCATACTCTCTCACAATCATTTTCTTTGGGACAGACTTTCCAAAGATTAAACAAATTAAGCAGATTGGGGTGGCTTTTCGAAGGAAGGACAAAAAATTGTCTGATGAAATGTACAACTAAATAATGAAACATAAATTCTAAAATACCTCCATCTCCATTTTCAAGGAAGTTAGTCTTGCCACCACAACTGCAGCAGCCTCTTGGTCAAACCCTTGCACCAATTCCTGGAATCAATGCCTCAAAGATTTAACTTTTCACCAATCATCAAGATAGAGAAAGAGAACCAAAAGAGAATTCACGTGTGTGTGTGTATTGGCTTTTCATGGATAATCAAGTTAGAGAAAGAGAACAACTACAGAGATAAGTGTGTGAGTGTGTAAATCAGAAGTGAGGTTACAATGACATATTAGAAACAAAACAAAGCTTATGAACCACGATACAACCTAAAAATATTATTTTTGAGCCCACATGGACCAATAAGCATTTTTCTTTAATTGAAATAGTAGAACCCACATGGACCAATTAAGGGCACCCATTGAATGTTATAAGTAGAACCACACCAATCATGACACCTCTACTCCTAAAAATGATGATAAGAAAAATCATTTCCACCAGTGTTTATCTATGAACTAATTGTACATTTAAAATATATAATAACTAGGAAGTCCACCAATTACCTAATCACACCATCTGACTACGCATAAATGAAAAACTTCATTGCTAATTTTCAGGGTCAAATCCCCTCCATACTTGAACGCATACAAAGCCAAAATTGAGATCAAATAAATAATCCTGTTCACACAGGTAATTCCCATAAACCAATTTTTCCTAGTAACTTGGGTTGAGGTTTCTTCAGACATATACACAATGGAACTCCCTTATGAAGTTTAGCATGACTAGCAGGAAAGCAAGAACTCAGATCCAAGTTCGAATATGAAAATGGGAAGTGTTCTCTGTTTCTTATAAAAAAAAAACTTCCAAAATAAAATATAGTAACATGCATATTCCTAAATGTTTTTTTTTGTTAAACTTTTCTCCAATGAAATTTGAGTTGTTTATCCCCATTGGAAATGCTAGCTCTCAGAATAGTAAAAATAGAGTAATATTTATGTGCAGAAAAGTTTAGGACAATGTAAAATAAGAAACCTCCGC